ATTTTTTTCCTATTTGTAATATTTCATGTTACTTAATTATGCATAAAAATGACATAAAAAAACGTGTTTTATGTCATCGTGCAAAGTGATCGTGATTTAATTTAAATTTGACGTACGACTGGGATCACTTTGCGTAGAGGGACTAAAATTAACGAAATCTCTCTATGCAGAGGGATCGAGTCGTATGCCAAATTTAAATTAAATCAAAATCAGCTAATTAAGTTTAAATAAAGATTGTAAATAATTCTTAAAGTTTCTTTCAAATTTTTTCGATGATTAATTTGAATAAAATTTTTAAGGTGAAGGTATGTTTGATATATTATTACGTTTTGCTCTTCAAGTCTTGAACATCTCGAAATAGTAACAGATTTTTCATATTTTAAGTAGAGAGTTCATTTGTTTTGTCAAACAGAAAACAATAACACGACAAATATAATTGTAAGCAACAAATTCCCGGTGTAGACTGTATAGAAACTGGTATCAATACGATCATGTGGACATCAAGATCAGTTACCAGTACCACTCCTTATTTATGACGTGAATAACAAAAGCTTTAGATGTGATAAGACATCTAGGGTGTGATATTGTAGGTTTGTACGAAACCATCAATAACTTTTAATGGAATAATCATTTAGTTGGCAAGCGTTCGGGATGCTATAAGCAATAATTAAATATATCTAGATATAAATTACTTGCTCATTCAATTATGATATTAACGAATTTGACATTTTTGATTGATGACTAAAATAATAAGAGAAGGTTTTCATGTGAGTGTAGGGCATTGGTTACTTGAAATATGTAAATGATGAATGACTTAAAGTAACGTCTACATTGGGAGAAGAGGACCTTTTCTAACCTTCTATAGAACCCTTCTATATTCCATTTCTTCATAGCAGAACAGTAGCAGCACGGTTTCAAAGTTGGAATAAGTTGCGGATAGCTTACTTTGGAATACCAAAAAAAATTTCACGCCTTTCCGTAGACTCTTTTCAAAATTTTCAATATATCGTTTTTGGAATGGCTATATCTCGAAAACGTCTTATAAGGGCAGTATTATGACACATTGGAAGAAAAACCCTCATAGATTCCATTTCATCATAGTAGAACAGTAGCAGCACGTAATATCAAACACAGCGCATATCCTTCGATATTTCAACACTTCAGACGTAAAATATTTTGAATTGGTTTTGTGTTTTATCTAAATCGATAAATCGAATCTATTACGTCTCCCCTTTTTTCCCAGTGTGTCGTATTGCTGCCTTTATAGGAGGTTTTCCAAAAATCGTCCAACCAAAATTGTAATTTTTCAGAATTGAAAATAATCCACGAGAGGACATATAATGTTTATCGTTATTTTATAATACCTGTAACTTATTCCATGTTTAAAAACGTTCAGTATCAGTGTATGCGAAAGTAAAAAAGATAATTTTTCAATTATTTAGTAAATTTAGTTGAAAAACAAAACCACTTTTAACTATGATACATTTATATTTTTATAAAATTATCGGAATATACGCCATGTTTGGTATTATATATGGCCAGGTCAAAACGTGCTGCTACAATTCTGACATGATGAAATCGAATTTATATGATTTTTTATTTTCTTTTTTTGTAAATATATCGTAATGCTGACTTTATTGAAAGTTTTCGAGAAATCGCCCATCCAAAACTTTGATTTTTTGACATTTCAAAAAGTACCCACGAGGGGACGTTAAATGTTTTTTTTTTCCTATTTTATACTCTCCGATACTTATTTTAAATGTACTATACGTCCAATATCGCAATATTGAAAAGTGAAAAGATAATTGTTAAATTATTTAGCAAATTTAGTTGAACTACAAAACCACTTGTAACTATGATACATATATACTTTTCATAAAACTACCGGAATATACGCTATGTTTGGTATTATATATGTCCAGTTTAAAACGTGCTGCTACTATTCTGACATGCGGAAATCAAATATTTAAGGTTTCTTCGCAGCGACCGTATTTCGTCACCCCCAACCTGACACCACGGAACGACCGTATTTCGCCACCCCTAACTTGACTCGACGACCATGTTTCGTCACTCCCATTTTGACACACAACGACCTCATTTCGTCACCCCTATACTTGCTTTAAATGTATTAGACCAGTGGTTCCCAAACTTTTTTGACACTCGCCCCCCGGCAATACAAAAAATATAAAGTCAGAAACGAATATATTACAGACCAAATAAGAAGGCAAATCATAGTTTACACTGTTTTTTAATGAAATAGATGAGCTTGGTGTTCTTCAGCGAGTTTTTTATTGTATCTTAAATTACCCCGTTTACTGGTGAAAAGGCGATTTCGTTGTTTTGAAAGCAATAGTAGCACGGCTGAAAACCCCTTTTTCACCATATAATAGTTCGGAAATGAAAGAATCCAGGGTTCTACCTCCTCAAAAACCGCTGTACTCTTGCCTTATAGTATTTCACTTCCTAAATTCATCCTATTTCACATTAAAATAATGAAAACAAAGTTAATTTTCCCAAACTTATAATAATGATTTTCGTACCTCTCATTCATTCGTACAGCATGATGACATGCACCAAAATACTTTGGTAAAATTTATCCCCGATTCCTCATCCTACCACGGCCTCCAGTCCGATCACCAGTCCATAATTTATCAGCCATTTGTTTTTGGATTCATGGACTCGGATGTGGAAGAAGTCGTGATCGACTATCGGCTACGGCTCACGGGACAAAATTCAGGGTTGCCAGTCTTTTGCGGGTCGCATATATTTTTTGAAAATTGAAAACGTAACAGCGCGCAAAAACTGCGACAATCCGTGAACTCAACTCAGTCGTCTTATTAAAAAAATATTACAATGACATTTAATGTGACACTGTCTTGTTGCTGCATCACGCTGAATAGCTTTACGACGCCAAATGTGGAACATTTTCTAAATGGGCATCACTAATCCCATTTCTTAGCTTGTTTTTTGTAATGTTCATTTTTGAAAAAAATTGTTTGCACAAATATGTATGTACTTCCAAACATCGAAGTGAATATTTTCGCATGATTTGTGAAATTTTTAAAGTATTCCTTGAAGATTTCCTTTAAGAAGATACATTCTTACAAAAATTAAGCAGTGATGAATCTCTCGAATAGAATATGAATTTGATTTTCTTATTGCATTGCAATATATTCGAATATTGACTGCGCTATTGAACCCTTGAAATCAAATCTTTAGGATAGGAGGATAGGATAGGATAGGATTTACATATTTATCCCGGGGGAGAGGAAAGCCGATAAGACGGCTTATCCGTATGGCGAACCACGGCCTCTCGTCCGGTTACCATTCCAAGTCGGGTATGGGATTAATTTTTACTGTATTGTTTGTTTTCGGAAGCATGGACTTGGTGGTGGAGGAAGCCGTAACCGACCAGCGGTTACGTGAACCACCCAACGACGGCGAGGAGTCCAGCAATCCTCTCGCACATAACCATCCCTGCATGGGATTCGAACCTGCGAACCCACGCAGAGTAATTAGAGGTGCGGTGGCGAGCGTATTCCTAACGCTTAGCCCGTTGAGCCACACCGCCGCGCCGATCTTTAAGGTTTCTTCGCAGCGACCGTATTTCGTTACCCCCAACCTGACACCACGGAACGATCGTGTTTCGTCACCCCCAATCTGACACGCACCGACCGTATTTCGCCACCCCTAACTTGACTCGACGACCCTATTTCGTCACCCCCAATTTGATACGCAACGACCGCATTTCGTCAGCCCTATTTTGACACCCCCAATATGACTTTTGTGCTACCACCCCTGTAAGAGGCGCATGATAACATTTATAAAAAGACTCGTCTGGCGTTTCATGTAACATAAAGTGAGTCATACATAGAAGTACAAAAAAATGAAAATAAAATTGATAGTGTGACGAAGACGAACGCGCTTCAGCCAATCAATCAATCAATTTTATTCGGTAACTCTGATACAAACAAAACACAAAACAACAACAAAGGGACAAACAAAATACAGAGGACCTGGAGGACGGGCATAACTTAATAAAAAAGTTAAATACGTACAAGTACGTGCCCGTCCCCCAAAAACAGAATAAAACAAAAACACGATGTGACATCGGGCAATATCTTATAAATTCAAATTAAAATGTGAGACGTGTATGTGCTTTTCCTATACAGATATATGGATTAAAGAACACTCGCTGCCGAAAAATGGTGATGCTGTAAATAGGACCTAGCCTGAATTTTAAGAATGATTTTAATATAAGCCCTCCCCTTAAATAAGACCTAGTCAATAACGCGAATTTTTTTACTTTGTCGATAGCAAGAAATCTCTCCCATACGTTTCAAATGATTAGGTAATGTAAAACGTGTCATTTAAGTAAATGGATATCGGTTTTCATTCGAAAATCTCTTAATTCTGTACGTTCTAATTTTGATTTTGTTAAATAAAATTATAAGACATCCCCGAAAATAAGCCCTAGTGTTATTTTTCGAAAGAAAATTGAAATAAGACACTGTCTTATTTTCGGGGAAATACGATATCTCTCACGGCTGCAAACTTATATTTCCCAAGTTACTCGTACATTACTGCACATCGCGAAGCCTGGCGATGATAAAACACCTTGGATGAAAAAAAATTTCTTGTAGAAATGTAGGAAAATAAATTATGACAATACAAATCAAAACCTTCATCCCTCCAATGATTGATGTTTGAAGAAGCACTCTGATATTAGCCTTAGATGCAGTACATTACATTTATTTTGAATAAATTGTTTCAGCCAGAGTCCCACAGATTTCTGTGAGTAGTTGATCTATCAGCTCATCCACGGAACCAGAAGATGAAACATTTTAGAGAAGCTCATATTTTAAGATCCCCAAATTCCTAGATTGGAACTGACTAATCATAATTTTTCTCACAAGAATAGAATTATATTTTTTCCCTGTTGCTTATTTTAGACAAGGCTTACCCAGTGCCAATTGGTGCTAATATAAAGACAACACATCTCCAAGTTTACTTGGCTCATATTTCAACTCGAAAGGGAACAAACATACAAAGATAAAAACATGTGGTGCACAGAATAAAAGCACAAAATTGTCGGACATACTGATGGATGGGTGCTGAGAGGATTAAGTATCACTTTTTGTACACGAAGTATACATATGTTTCGTTTTGCTAATTGTTGCTGAGGTGACATTAGTTGAAAAATCTCCTTTCTTTCCATACAGGTACTGATGAGGTTCCTTCGTTCCCATATATTTGAGAATTGCTCTCTTGTTACATAAATAAACATGTACATCATCAAAATTGAATAAAATATTTCAACCTATATCCGCAATAAGTTTGATATTATATCAGTTTTTTATGTACAAAGTGATGAATAAAAACAAATCTTGCTTGATGTCAGAAAATTGAAAAAAAAACTCCAGTGCATTCAAAAAAAGTCTTACATTATTTCCAACCCAATGTTTTAAACTTTCAGTGGGAAAGGATTCAATTAAACATAATTGTAAACGGAATTGAACCAATTTCTTAAAAGTTGTCTTTTATTAACTGCTTTTCTATTACAACTTGTATACTTTTATCAAAACAAATGTAAGTATAAATCATTGTTACTTGCAGGTATGAAGTTTGGACCCAAATTCCAAACTAAAAAGTCTAGTGAATTACAGAATGCTAATATCTCTAATGGCATCATCGATTCTAAAATTAGTTTCTTAATTAGAAACTCTTTGCATTTTCAGTAAAAAATACGAGTGCCTATATCCTTCAGAAGGGGGTTATGCAAGGGGGGGCTACGAGTGCTTATATCCTCCAGAAGGGGGCCACGGGTGATTATATACCCCAGAAGGGGACAAGTCATAAAAGATTGAGAATCACTTCTCTAGATAAATATAAAGATCTATCAGTGCTCATACCTTTGAAGTTGAAGAATTCACAAAACCAAAGGAAATAAACAAGAAATGACGAAATAATAAACACCAATACATAAAGACTTTTCCTTGTTGATTAAAATAATATGCAAAAGGCTACTTGATTCAACCACAGAAGAGTCTATATAAATGGTAAATCATTATATTTGACACATAATCTGTTAATAGACACTAACTAGCACACAGTGATATTAAATGTAATAGTTTTATTCAAAGTTAAATGACCCGATTGTACTGTACGTTATATATTCTTTGGTGTAAATGCTAAGGCCAGGTGGATAATTCGAATAGCTCTGACATATCAAAACAATTATCTGGTACAAAAGAGAAAACCATATAAAATTTTGAGGCTTGGTGTGGCTTTCCCTTTTGTCTTGTCTATCTATGCGTGGAGACAAACTCAAATTAATCATACATGTTAGACAAGATGTTGTAAATTCAAATTACCTTTTAATCTCATACTATATAATTGTCATCTGAACTGCCAAGCTCTTTCCCATATTGCATCACTGTGAACATTTTACAGATATTATAATGAACTGTGTTCTTCTGGATTTATTTCTAAAAACGTTTTCAGTGGTCAAACTTGGTTGGCACTCACCCCAGTTTAGTGTCAGTGTACCTACCAGTCAAAATGACCAAAAATATTTTTCAAGAACTTCAGTTATGTGGAATTCACTACCTTATAACTGTTTTCCTGATTGTATTGACAGAAACAGCTTTTAAATGTTTTCTGTCAATTGGTATTTACCAATGTGTAATTCTATCTTATAACTCTATATAAAGTCTGTGTAGCTCTTGACACATTAGCGGACGTTTGTAACTTTGCTTAGAGATCAACGACCTTTATTTCTCAGTGAGTGAAAGAGCAAATTTTGCTTCTGGCAAATTTCCTTTAAAAAAAATAAAACACAATTTCATCTCATTTAAATCCAATAACACTATTCTGTAAAACAAAATCATTTATTTTAAATTTGTTAAACAGTGCAAAAGCCTTCAACGATAAAAATGCATAAGGGAATAGTTATCAGGTAGTAACTAATAACTACGGTGTAAACTCATCAATGACCTTCTGCAACGAGGCTAAATCAAACTGAAAGTTTTTCCAACATTCGGGCATGGCCTCACTGTATAAAATTCGTCCTCGGCCACGATTCGAGACATAGCTATATCCCACAGGCGAAGACAACTTATGATGAGGAGAATTAGACCTGTTTCTTGGTTGAATTTTTTGTGGTTGAGGAGAACTTTTTCCAGATTTAATTCGTAGAATTTTTTCTAATTGTAGGTTGTTTTCTCGTGCAAAATATTGTCTTTGTCTTTCAGCTTCTCTTAAAGAATCTTCTTTCTTATTCACAACTGGTAGAGGATTTGTGCTTGATAGATGCTCAAACTGAGCTTTGCTGAGACCTTCAAGTTTATGATTGCTACCTGAATGATGGATTTTTTTCACTGGTGTTGATGGTTTCGAAGATTTCTGGGTCTTCTGAAAGCGATTTCTCTGTCCTGCAATCCATTTTCGTATCTTTGCAACAAAAGGTATCACCATAAAAAAATTATTTGGTGCCATAGATAAATTTTGTTTGGGGGTCATGTCTTTTTTATGGCATGGCAAGTCATCCATATTAAACCACTCTACACTTTTAATTTCCCCTCGTGTTTTAGGAGAAAATTTTGTCATGCAGGGCACACCAACCACATAATACAACCTTGTGAGTTGTTCGTTGAATCTCTGTTCAACATATTCTGTTGTGTTCATGTATGGTTTTATGTCAAATCCTGTTTCTTCTAGAACTTCACGAGCAGCACAATCTTCCGCCTTTTCATTTTTATTTACTTTCCCTTTTGGAAATCCCCAGCTAGATTTAACAACAAAACCTTGAACAAGTAAAACATGGTCCATAGTTTCGTCCAGGATAACTGCACCATAAGTTGGAACACTACGTTTGTATTCTCTCCAACGATCTATTACCTCATCAATATTAGCACCAGTCGGTTTGAGCAGGAATGGATAGTTTTCAAAAATAATTTTCGCAAAATCTCGTACACGACAGTCAGGTAAATCCTGATTTTCTGTTCGATAAAAATCCAAATAAAACCAATGGGCCAATTCAATTTGAAAACAGAGACGAACCATATCATCTTTCTCAGGTCCTGGAATATTCAATAAAAATCGGCTGCATAGATCATCCAGAACATCATTTGAAATCACTATTACAGGAGCACGTTTTCTGTTATCCATCATGGAAGTATTTATTATTACACAGATAACTTCTAAATATCTAAAAGAAATTGACAATTAGGACTAGGCTAGACCTATTGAGCCTAAAGAAATTAAACAAAAATAAATCGTACTAAAAGACACAATTTCACTAATACAGTACCGTACCATAATAGCAAGAATGCATAAGTCAGTACAGTTATAATGTAATAGCCTCAATTGAATAGTACTTTTATACATTTCTTTTCTTCTGGCAAAAATGCAATCATGGTAGGTTTTATTGAAATGCTTTTCATCAAGTTTATTTTTATTTTATATTCTTACTACATTCTGCTTTAATTTAATATATAAAACAAGAAAACCTAAATTTTGATACGCGAAATGAAGTATTTTATCAAAATCTGCATGGTTCACATTTTTGCTGAAATAGCCATATTCTATTGAAGACTCTACTATCACCCTTGAGTGACGCATACCATATAGACACAAGAACCGACATTCACTTTTAATACTTGGCCCATTTAAATTATATGGTCTCACCACTCAAAGGTGCTGTATTTATGCCTAAATCTTGATTTCATCACTATGTACCTGTACCTGGTGTTGTGTTGGCTCTATTTATATATATTGTCTTATAAACTCCCCTGTATAAACAGTTTTGCATACTCCACCATTATCACTTTCACCACTCCAATCAACCCATTGCCCCACATTCTGACATTGCACAACTGTCTATATAAGGGACCATATTAGGCCTATACATATTTATTCTAACGTTTTTTGTTTTATATTTGTCATAAGGGGTACATGCCGTACATTTGTGTTTTAGTCCAGTAGATCTTGTGCATGCATCCTGTCTTAATAATAATTGGCAATTTATTTTTCATTTTTTTTTTAATGAAAAATAACATATAAAATAATATCAAAAAGAATTACCAACAGTACATTAATAATATGTTTTACATTTTATTCATGGTTGTTCCAAGGAAGAATTCATCACGGTTCATTTTTTCCATAATTCCATTTTTTTCATAATCATCATTTTATACGATTACAATTATTTTTAAGATAAAGCATGTAAAAAAAAATTATTTATTTTTCACTATTACAAGACGAATAAACATACATACATTTATATGTAAGTACAGAAGTATGTGACATCTACCGTACCGGTAATGCTCGAAGCAATATGACTCTTGTTGACAATTGCAATTTCAGAACTTTGTGCTCCGTATAAACATGAACTCTACTTGCTGCAGTTAGTTCAGTATAAAGCGAAACATTGTTTCCATGCCATGGATTGACCACTGTGAAGCTAGCAGCACTTTCAGCCAGAATATTTTTACACATTGAATATAGGTTCCACGCACATATAGTGTTCACTTATAGGTAAATATGAAAATTGAAAATGCTGATCAAAATATAATATTGGCACGAAAATAGATGAAAAATCTTTAAACTGAATGAATACATTAAATTTAACAAGAAAATAGTGTTTAAAAAAAGACTAACTAAGCGAAAAATGAATTTTCAGGTATTCCGCAAATACAAAGTTTCGGAAAATCGGTTTTGACTTGACCATATATATTACCAAACATATCGTGTAATCTAAATTTTAATAACGGCATGGACGTAACAAATTTAAAATTGATTTTGTATTTCAACTAAATTTGCTAGATAATGAATAAAATATCATTTTCTCTTTGTCACACATTAATACTGTACATCTTTTAAACTTGGAATACGTTGCGGGAAATATAAAACAGCAAAAAAACATTTGCGACTCCTAGTGGATTCTGTCCTGGATTACAAAAAATTATCGTTTTTAAAATGGCGATTTTTCGAAAACCGCCAATAAAGGCAGCACTACGACATATTCGGATAAAAGCACATACATTATAGATTCGATTTTATTATGCCAGAACAGTAGCAGCACGTTTTGACTTGGCCATATATAATACCAAACATAGCGTATATTCCTCGATTTTTAAAACAAAGGTACGTAACATATTAAAAAAGGGTTTGTATTTCAACTAAAGTTGCAGGATATTTGATCAAATATCTTTTTCTCTTTGTCGCACATCAATACTGTACGTCTATTAAAGTTAGAATAAGTTTCAGAAAGTATAAAGTAATAATAAAAAAAATTTTGCGCACCCGATTGAATTAGTTTGAGAATTTCGAAAAATATCGTTTTTGGATTGGTGATTTCTCAAAAACCGCCAATAAAGGCAGCATCATGACACATTCAGAAAAAAGCACATACCTTATAGATTCAATTTTATTATGTCAGAACGGTAGCAGCATGTTTTGACTTTGCCATATATAATACCAAACATAGCGTATACTCTTCAATTTTATGAACAATGTGGACGAAACAAATTTAAAAAGGAATTGTATGTCAACTAAATTTGCTGAACAATTGATAAAATATATATTTTTTTCTTTGTCACACATTACTACTGTACGTCTATTAAACTTAGAATGAGTTGCAGAAGAAAAGTATAAAATACCAAAAAAACATTTTACGCCCTCTCGTGGATTCTTTTCAAAATTTCGAAAAATTATCGATTTTGGAAGGGCAATTTCTCGAAAACCGCCAATAAAGGCAGCTCTACGACACATTCGGAGAAAAGTATATACCCTATAGATTTGATATCACTATAACAAAACAGTGGCAGCATGTTTTGACTTGGCTATATATAATACCAAAATAGCGTGTATTCTCAGTTTTATAAACAATGTCGACGTAACAAATTTAAGATGGATTTGTATTTCAACTGAAGCTGCTGGAAAATTGATCAAATATATTTTTCTCTTTGTCACAAATGAATACTGTACGTTTATTAAACTAAGAATTAATTGGGAAAGTTTAAAATATGAAAAAAAAACATTTTACGCTTTCTATAATGGGTTCTTTTCTGAATTCTGAAAAATAATCGTTTTTGAAAGGGCGATTTCTCGAAAACCGCCAATAAAGGCAGGACTACGACACATTCTGAGAAAAGCAGATACTTTATAGATTCGATTTTATTATGTCAGAACAGTAGCAGCACGTTTTGACTTGGCCATATATAATTCCAAACATAGCGTATATTTTAAATTTTATTAAAAAATGTAGATGTGACATATTTAAAAACGGTTTGGTATTTCAACTAAATTTACTGGAAAATTCCTCAAATACTTTCTTCTCTTGGGTATACAACAAAACTGTACGTTCATTAAACTTGGAATTAGTGTGCAAATCTTATATGTATGTCCAAGAAAAGAAGATGTTTGATAATATATCTAGTAAATTTAGTTGAAATACCAAACCGTTTTTAAATATGTTACGTCTGCATTGTTATAAAAGTTTAAATACACGCTATGTTTGGTATTATATATGGCCAAGTCAAAACGTGCTGCTACTGTTCTGACATAATGAAATCAAATCTATAAGGTATCTGCTTTACTCCGAATGTGTCGTAGTGATGCCTTTATTGGAGGTTTTTGAGAAATCGCCCTTTCAAAAACGATAATTTTTTGAAATTCCGAAAAGGATCCACTAGAGGGCGTCAAATCAGTTTTTGGCATTTTAAGATTTGCACACTAATTCCAAGTTTAATGAACGTACAGTTTTGTTGTATAACCAAGAGAGTAAAGTATTTGATGAATTTTCCAGTAAATTTAGTTGAAATACCAAACCGTTTTTAAATATGTCACATCTACATAGTTAATAAAATTGAAAATATACGCTATGTTTGGAATTATATATGGCCAAGTCAAAACGTGCTGCTACTGTTCTGACATATTAAAATCGAATCTATAAGGTATCTGCTTTTCTCCAAATGTGTCGTAATGCTGCCTTTATTGGCGGTTTTCGAGAAATCGCTATTTCAATAACGATAATATTTTGAAATTTTGAAAATAATCCACAAAAGGACGTAAAAATGCTTTTTGGTATTTTATACTTTCCGCAACTTATTCCAAGTTTAATGAACGTACAGTATATATGTATGTTCAAAAAAAGAAGATGTTTAATAATTTATCTAGTAAATTTAGTTGAAATACCAAACGTTTTTTGAATATGTTACGTCTGCATTGTTTATAACTTTTTGAATACACGCTATGTTTGGTATTATATATGGCCAAGTCAAAACGTGCTGCTACTGTTCTGACATAATGGAATCAAATCTATAAGGTATCTGCTTTTCTTCGAATGTGTCGTAGTGCTGCCTTTATTGGAGGTCATTGAGAAATCGCCCTTTCAAAAACGATAATTTTTCGAAATTCCTGAAGGATCCACTAGAGGGCGTCAAATCATTTTTTGGCATTTTAAGATTTGCACACTAATTCCAAGTTTAATGAACGTACAGTTTTGTTGTATACCCAAGAGAAGAAAGTATTTGATGAATTTTCCAGTAAATTTAGTTGAAATACCAAACCGTTTTCAAATATGTCACATCTACATTTTTTAATAAAATTGAAAATATACGCTATGTTTGGAATTATATATGGCCAAGTCAAAACGTGCTGCTACTGTTCTGACATAATAAAATCGAATCTATAAGGTATCTGCTTTTCTCCAAATTTGTCGTAATGCTTCCTCTATTGGCGGTTTTCGAGAAATCGCTATTTCAATAACGATAATATTTTGAAATTTTGAAAATAATCCACAAAAGGACGTAAAATGCTTTTTGGTATTTTATACTTTCCGCAACTTATTCCAAGTTTAATGAACGTACAGTATATATGTATGTCCAAGAAAAGGAGATGTTTGATAATTTATCTAGTAAATTTAGTTGAAATACCAAACCGTTTTTAAATATGTTACGTCTGCATTGTTATAAAAGTTTGAATACACGCTATGTTTGGTATTATATATGGCCAAGTCAAAACGTGCTGCTACAGTTCTGACATAATGAAATCAAATCTATAAGGTATCTGCCTTACTCCGAATGTTTCGTAGTGCTGCCTTTATTGGCGGTTTCTGAGAAATCGCTATTTCAAAAACGATATTTTTTTAAAAACTTCGAAAAAAATCCACAAGAGGGCTTCAAATCATTTTTTGTTATTTTAGGATTCGCCGTCTTATTCCAAGTTTAATGAACA